TTACAACGTACTGTTCCGACTCCGTGTGGAAGGCCTGAAAAGAGGGAACAGAGCGATTAGCTTTGATTTGTGGATATGATATTTCCCTAAAAGTATGATGAAATTTATGATATATAGTTCTTTCTGTTTTTTTTTTTTTTTTTTGGTATCATGGACTCTAAACAGTTCATTGTTCCAACTCAAACAATAATTAGAGTCAATCTTTCTCTAGATAAATGAGATGACTTCTTTTCAGACGGTGGTAGTTTAGTGATGAAGCACAGGTGGATCATAGTCTCATGTTCAGACTCACAGAGAGCGATTCACACAAATATCTTCCCTAACTTTGAACATGTACTGCTTGGCAGGGTAGTACCTGTGGATTAATTTATAAGATACTTCTCTTACTTTGTTTATCACTAAATATCTATATGGCAGTTTCCACACATTGAGCCAGTTCAGCCCATCTACAAATCCAGCCCAGTAATGAACAACATGGGGGATATTGGTAATATCTGCTTGAAATAATGACATAATATTACAATTATTATTTTTGGATTTGACTGAAAAGCATAAATGAACAACTGGTGTCATCAAAGGGTCAAAAGGTGGAATAACAGCTGGTTTCTCAGCATCTTTTAATAAAGTTGGAACACCAGAGGGAATAGCATTCATTACTAGATCAAATTATTTTGGGGTAACAGGAAAATTAAATGTCTTGAAAATCTTTTGAAGTATAATTCATCAAAGTTGACAAGAGTGTGAACTGTGATTAGTGCTTTCAGTATCGCCTGTTGACAAAAGGGTTGAGCGTATGTGTGTGTGTTTGTCTGGTAACGTAATATTTTAGCAATCCTTAGACAAATTTTAATTTCCATTCAAGATGGCCGCCACAGCACTGGCTTCATAAAACACAAAAACAGTTGTTAGCTGTTGAGCTAAAATCTGGTGTGATAGTGGCTGAGACAATTTCTAACACATATTTTGTTATGAGAATGTTACCATTGACTAGTTGGAGTCAACCTTGCTTGTCTGTTAGCAAAATATCTGATGAACTACTGAATGGTGAAGGATAAGGAAGGCGTCTCCTGACAATGGTCTCTGACACTGAGGTCACCTCACATATTAACGCTGAACAGAGTTTTTTAAAGTAATCCAACATTTTTCAGTCAGGTCATCTGGACAGTTTCTTTTTGTTTGTGCTGAAACGTTTCGCCTTCGATCCGGAAGGTTTCATCAGTCAAGGAAACACACAAGAAAACCGATTCTTCCTCCAACAGTTTACTCTAAAGTGGAACAAACCAGTTCTGCTTGTGATAAGATGGTCTCTTTGGTACACCCTCTCCTCCATTGCCAGCCCTCTTCCTTGTTGACCGTCTAGTCAAACTGGTTGAAAACAACAAAGTCCATGCTCAATAATCCAGGTATACAATCCAACATTTTTCAGTCAGGTCATCTGGACAGTTTCTTTTTTTGTGCGGAAACGTTTCGCCTTCTGTCCAGATGACCTGACTGAAAAATGTTGGATTGTATACCTGGCTTATTGAGCATGAACTTTGTTTTTTTTTTTAAAGTAAGTTTTGACCTGAGTAATGTCTGATGTTTTCACACAATAACTGCATTAGAACTCTTATTGACTTTGATAAATGCTTACACATTTATTTTATGCTTTTGATAAAGAAAAAAAAACCCATTCTTAAATTTAAGTTTGTTTTGTTTGATTGTGACATGTGTGAAAATGAATAATTTTGATAATTATTTGCGATTATTATTATGAAATCTTGCAAAAAGTTATAATAATTTTAACATATTTGTTCTCTTTCAAAATAAAACCTCCTTAAGAGAAACCTGTGTAAGTGTTTCGAGCAGGAATCTGTTAATGCCAGAGGGGAGTCGTAACATCTGAGAGATCCCCAAATAGACAAAGTATATTTGTGTGTATTTCTGAGTTAAGAAAACAACATTTTGTTCAGCAAAATGTTTTTCCCACTGAAGGACTTACAGTTCTCGTCTTGAAGTGAAAGTCAGCTGAAGGCACTCAATCACCTGCAGATGTTTTCAACAGCTGTGACCTCATCGGTCCCTGAAGCCGTCACAGTGACTTCTGGCTTCCTTGGACACCACACACTTCATCCTGGCCTGACTAGTCCTCTCCTCATGGAAGGTCATGGTGTGATCAGCCAGCAACATTTAGGAAAGACAACTGAACTCGAGCCCTCAACAATGATCTGGTAGGAACTGAGATCTGGTGACATCAGTGCAATATTGAATCTGGTTATGTCATTTTAGCTGATGCAACTTGATAAATATAATTTCCTTGCTGGCATTGCTAATACATCAGTTAATTTGGTCACATTAAATAATGTCTTGCAACCAAATCCCAAAGTAAATTGTTTATAAAATAACAAAGTCCATGCTCAATAATCCAGGTATACAATCCAACATTTTTCAGTCAGGTTTTCAACCAGTTTGACACGACTGTCAACAAGGAAGAGGGCCGGCAATTGAGGAGAGGGCGTACCAAAGAGACCATCTTATCACAAGCAGAACTGGTTTGTTTCACTTTGGAGTAAGTTGTTGGAGGAATAATCAGTTTTGTGTTGTGTGTTTCCTTGACTGATGAAGCCTTCTGGATTGAAGGCGAAATGTTTCAGCACAAAAAAAAGAAATTGTCCAGATGACCTGACTGAAAAATGCTGGATGTTTATAAAATAGTTAAACTTTGTCTAAATTCTTGCTCTTATAAAAAATAATTCCTGCTCAAATTGTTAATTTTGCCTTGGATAAAACACAGTTAATTCTTGACTGATTAATTATTGTTTAGCTAGTTTTAGTAAATACTTAACAACTTTTACAAACGTTATTCTTCAAATTATTATCCTTTATAATTTGTGTTGTCAAATGTGTTTATTGTTGTTGATTTTATTTTTGAATAATCATTTTGTAATACAGTTTAAAAAGACACATTCTGTTTCCTCCTCATTTGACATGAATGCTGTGATAAGAATTTCCTGTAACTATGAATTTAGCTTCAGCTGTTGAGTCTGATAATTCAAGAGCAAATTTAATGGTTCAATATCCATAAAACATATAAACTTGTTAATAGTAAACTGACCTGGTGCCCAGGCAGCTAATGAGTGCAAATATACAGTAGGTGTAGTAGAGTGAAGACAAACATCACCCTTTATTTTCCTCACTCACATCGGCTATGGATATTAATGAAAATTTGAAAAAGTAATCCCTGGATGTAATTTTCTTTTGAAGTCAATCTAATTCAAGATGACTTCCACAGCTATTTGACATTAGTCATCACAAAATGATGACGACTCAGTCGAATGTACAGCTACTGCTTTGATGTGGTATTATCTTTCACAGTATCTTTCCCAGCACTGACTCATGTTGCGACACAAGATGATTGTAGTCTAAAGCGCTGGCATGAAAGGCGTAAGGCAGTGTGCATTGTTAAAGCTAGGCCTTCATCAGAGTCAGAGTTTCTTTACTGTTGTTCTAACACATGTGGTACATGTGGTAGAACAAAATTGTGTACACAGGGTCCCAGTTACATCCAACAATAAAATGTAAAAGAAAAACAGTAATAAGAGCTAAGATATAAAGTAAGAAAGAAAATCATCAAAAATACGCTAAGCATTAATAGCATAAAAACAGTAAACACATTACGCCGAACAGCAGCACGAACATGAGTCTGTGTGAGCAGATGAGCACGCATGAACACAGCAACATGAAACAGATCAGCAGCAACATGAAACAGATCAGCAGCAACATGATGTGATTTTTTACAGTGATTATCCTGATTAGATTGGTAACTCTAAATTGTCCCTAGGTGTGAGTGGGAGAGTGAATGGTTGTTTGTCTCGTTTGTCTCTATGTGGCCCTGTGATGGACTTGCGACCCGTCCAGGGTGTACCCCGCCCCTCGCACAGTGAATGCTGGACTTGGGCACCAGCGACCCCCGTGACCCAAAATGGAATAAGCGGGTAAAGATAATGGATGGATGGATGGATGGATTATCCTGATTAGATATTCATGAGTGTAACAGCCTCAGGGTAGAAGCTGTTCCTCGGTCTAAAATTAATGCTCCTCAACCTCCTTCCTGAGGGGAGCGGGGCAAAAAGTGTGTGTGCTGGGTGAGTGGGGTCCTTCATGATGCAGGTGGCCCTCTTCCTGCATCTGGAGGTGTAGATGTCTGTGATGGTGGGGAGACTGTCTCCAACAGACTTCTGTGCAGCCCCTGACGTAATGATTCATTTTGGGCTGCTGAAAATCCCGAATATTAAAGCTGTTTAACTACACAAGGAGACATCACTGTAAAGTTATTCAGATGTTTTTTTATTTTATTTATTTATGTACATTTCTCCACCCGCCCCAAAAAGTAAAAATAAAAAATTAAGGTAAATTTTGCACTATAAAACGTGTTGGGTTGGGTGTGCAGTCTTTTTTGTGTGTGTGTGTGTAATAAACAACACAACTCTGCCCTCTAGTGGCTCAGGTTGTAATTTTTGTTTGTTTATTACAAACCTCAGATTTCTAGGGTTTACAGGTCTACAGACAAATTCTGAATCTTCTTTTTATCAGTAAAACTAAGATACGTGATATTGTTTTGACACTTTGTCACCACCGATCAGCTCATTTTCATGTTCATATTGTCTTGTTTTACCTTGAGCCATGCAGTCGGTTCGAAGCAGCGACAAACAAGTCGCCTGCCTCCGTCTTGCATGTGTGGGTTCAGCGGTGCAGTCATCTCTGCTCAGCCTGTGTTCCTCCACACTTCTGTTTACCAGCGCAGGATCCCACGACAGTTGCCATAGAAACTCCACTGCCTGGCACCGGCAGAGGCGAGAGACAAGTTCATTTTTTAGGGGTTTCCACGGGCAAGAGAAATTACCTCCGAGAACAAAAACAACAAATACCAAACACTGATGCTATTAAAAAAAAACAGTTTATTTATTGGTTTACAGTTCACAGAAACACTGGAAGATAGATGAATTTACACGATCAACAGCAAATATTAACAGTAGGAGGGATGTTTTATGAAATAATAATGTTGATATAACACAACATGAGGCCTTCCAGACAGTATAATTGCCTCTGTTTGTTTCCAAATCTGCATTTTTACATATTTTCACCATCTCATGATGTGACATATCTTTTAGCAAACGTCACCGTGTCCTCCCTACACCTCAGCAATGGCAGGTAGCATGCAGGCTCCTACTCGCGCCTCCCTCCACGCCGACCTGCAGTCTGACATCCACTGGGAGATGAAGGATGGTCTGATGGCTGGATTCAGTCTTTCTTCCTCCGGACAAACTCTTCTGACCTCTGACCTGAACGAGCTGTGCTTCGGAGAAACATTTGGAACTGGAAAGTTCATTTCGGCGAGTATTTCAGGGCAGCTGCTCTTGCGCTGGCATGGGGAATCTGGACTCGAAGCTCTGACGCGAGTGTCGCTCCCATGCTGCCTCCCCGACCTTCCCCCGACGTAGGCTTTCCTAACGCTGCCCGAGAGGGCAAACAGGTTGTCCTTGTCTCCGTAAAGATACTCCAACGGGTCGGAGTTGCAACGCATCAATCGGCCGTTCAGTCCTTTCCTGTCTTCCTGCTCCTGTTTGAGGTTGAAGTCCGAGGAGGTTAAAGGGATGAACCGTGACGGCCTGAGCCTCTGCTGCACAGCGTCGGGGCTTTCGAGGGAACCTTCCCTGGAGGGGAAGGTGGGGCGAGCCAGATGGCAGATGGAGAGAAGGTAGTCCTCCGATGAAATCCCTTGGCTGTTATCGCCCAACTGGAACGTGCTGACTTCGTTCCAGTCCTTCGCTGTCTCCTCAGTGCCCTCCCTGATTGTGGGCAGCAGGATTCTTCTCTTGGTCGGCAGTCTGGACCGCGGCCGCATAGCTGGGAGACAAAACCAAGAAGGAGAGAGGTCACTTTCCAGAGCTAAAAGCGACACTTGAGATGTTAACGTTTTTCTTTAAGTGAATTCACGAACCCGTTTGGTTAAAGTTTTGTTTTGCTTTGAGGAAATTGTTGTTGACAGCCAAGATGGCGGCAGACAGGATGAACACATGATTGACAGAATGAACTCAAGAAAGCTTTTCTTCTGCTGTACATCAAGAAGGACACAGACATCACCGTCTTCAAGCACAAGTCCTCGTTTTCCCACCTCATCGGACTAATGTGTTTTTCCAGTCATATAATCTGATGCATACCAGTAAACAACCCCTCACCCCTCAACTGTATCAAGTCCAGCAAATAAACCTCCCTGTCTCTCCTCCTCCTTATTTTAGGCATCACCCCTCAGTTCATCCCAGTTCAGGCTGAGAAACGCACCGCACAAATATTTGTTTTTTTGTCCAGCCACAGAATGTGTCAGCCTAGATTTTCTTGGCTACAACCGACCATATTGTTGAAACATATTTCCATCTCAACCTCCAATAAGTCCAGCCTCTCCCCCACTTTCTTCCAAGGTGTTTAACCACTGCTAAATTTAGGTCACTCCTTTGGTACACTGCATCTAAAAATGGCTCCACAGTTGCAGCACAAGACTGAAGCACATGAATAAATGCATTTTGGGGGGAATAATGTCAAAGATTCTGGTCAATTAGTTGTCACGCTCACCTGGTGATGGATGGTAGTTGTTTTGCCCACTTGGTCTCGTCGCCTCACGCTTGTTCTCTCGATCCTAAACCTGAATCAGGCAGTTTGTTGTTTAGTATCCTGTGTTTTCGTCCCAACGATGCTGCTCTCTGGCATCCACTGTCTCTGAGCAGAGGCGAGGCTGAAGCAGAGGTTTATCTCTTCCTCCTCTTCCCTTACTCCCTCTCGCTCTCTCCTTTTCTCTCCAGCTCACTTTTAGTGTGCCCTCCTTCCCTGCTTCTAAATATAGACGCACACGTTCGTTTCCTCAGCCCGAGCCGTGCCTCTGAGTGACTGTAATGATGGGGAGAGAAAACCAAGAGGAGGGGAAAAATAAGAGGGGAGGGAGAAAAAGGAGAGAGAGAGAGAGAAGGCTTGGAGTCAGAAAAGATAAGCAGAAGGGAGGGGGAAAAAACAAACAAAGATTTTTCACATTTCTTTCTTGGAAGCAAACATGAGTCTGACCAAAGGAGCTCTGAGAAAACTGTGGCGCTTTAAAAACAATCTTTGACCTTGGTGTTAGCGTGGAGTGGTCAAAATGTGCATTAGCTGCTGAGCATGTGACACGTTTGCACATGTTTACTTTGCCTGCGTGTGTCTTAGTGGAGATCTTTAATACGCCTTTACTATGATGCTCCTCATATGGCTCATGAGTCACCAGTTCTTAGTCTTTAACAGTCCATGACTGGTTTGCTGGGTCGATAACAAAATGCCTCTTATTGGGTGCGTTCTATTTTTATTACTTAAAGCTCACAAGAATCTTATCTACTGAAAAAAACACTGCTGAACTTTAGCAATCATAAAATTGTGTATAACGCATTTAATTTTACAATTGTTAACCTACACAATTTGGAGTGGTAGAAGCTTAACCTCATCCTCAATACACTCAGAGTGCTACATGTTGTGCAGTATTTTTGTTTAAAACTTTGGCATTTACTATCCTGATGCATGCTCAATAATCCAGGTAGAAAAATCTAAAACAAGTTAAATCTGGTCCTCTGGACATTCAAAAAACAAAACAAAGCAAAACAACAACAAAAAAAGTACCTTTTTTTTGTTGTTGTTATTTTGCTTTGTTTTGTTTTTTGAATGTCCAGAGGACCAGATTTAACTTGTTTTAGATTTGGCATTTACTATTGATGTAAACCTTTTTTGTCTGTCAGCAAAATATGTCATGCATCACCCGGCAAATTTTAACAAAACTCTCTAAAAGCAATTTTAGATGTACATCTATGACTGGTTACCTTTTACCAATGGTGGAGCAAGGGGGTGGCCAATGGTGGTCTTGGCCAACATAAATTAATCTTCAGCCACCCCATCAGCCACCCTAATCATTTGAGGAAACTATACTTTCAAGAAATATAAAAACTAGAAAGCATAATTTGCTCAAATGGTGGAGGTGGCTGTTTTATGTATATACATGGTGATGGCCATCTTGAATTTTGATATGACATCCACATTTCCAATATGGACTTTCTTTAACTATATGGAGCCACACATCAAAAAGAAAATTGGTACCTCACTTGTTTTTTATGTTATCCAGCTCATAATGTGGATGAACAGATTTCCAATTCCCCCCTTTGCTCTGCAACAGGGGACAAAAATGATGTATTATACTGCAAGCCCTGACAGATCATGAGAGATCCTGCAGTGTTGCATGACATCAAGTACTGTATATAATCATCTACAAGGTTTGACCAAAAAGGCTTTAACTCTGTCATTTCTCATTTTTATCATGATTTTAGATCAAAACTGTGGAGAGAAAGGCAGCTGATGTAGAATTATTTAAAGGAATGATATATTATAAGTGAATCTTGTCATGTTGTTCGACCCCCTCAAAAAAGTTGTAATTAATGAACTTTAAACTGAAGCCTTCTAAATATATATATATATTTTTTCTGAATTTGGAGCAGATATAAAGTAAGTTGCATAACGACCGCCCACTTTCCTTTCAAGGCCTGATGAGGGAAACTGAGCTGTAGGTGGAGGAACGGAGGCGATGCGTTTTATTCCCTGTGCTCACCTTTTGATTGCTGCTTTAAAAGGATTTGACTGCTGCTGTTTTTGTCAAAAGCTTGTTGCTCCAACACTTATGACATAAGCAGTTTGAAGTCAGGCAGCACAAGGGATAATGCCCTAGTGGACTTGTTTTTATCCAAATGCGGATCAAAAGGATTTTCAGGTCTCTGACCACTATGACAGCTCAGCTGTGGGTTTGTAAACAAGCACATCATTTGAATCAATCACATATGACCTCAAGGCACTAGCAGAAAAATAAAATTCCTCATTTTGTAGATTTAATTAAAAAAAATAATATTTCCTGTGATATTTCTAAAGTTAGAAGTAAGGCTCTAACATTTTTCAGTCAGGTCCTCTGGACAGTATCTTTTTTTGTGCTGAAACGTTTCGCCTTGGATCCAGAAGGCTTCATCAGTCAAGAAAACCCAACAAAACTGATTCTTCCCCCAACAGCTTACTCCAAAGTGGAACAAACCAGTTTTGTTGGTGCTAAGATGGTCTCTTTGGTACGCCCCTTCCTCCATTGGAGGAACATGTTGGATTGTATACCTGGATTATTGAGCATGGACTTTGTTCTAATTCAAGGCTGTACTAAAACATGTTTTTAAAGTTTTAAATCTGCTTTGAGCTTTGTCCCTTATTGATTTGTTTACAGACTTGCGTCTTGAAAGGGATAGTTCAGATATTCTGAAGTTGGATTCTGTGAAAAAGATTACAAAAAGTTAATAACTTACCTGTTGTATATATGACCTCAGTTTGGAGAAATAGTTTAATTTATGACCAGACTGATGAGCTAACAAGTGATCTGTGTGGCTCCGGGAGCAAAGCTGATTACTGTCATCTTAAAACAAATAGTTTCAAAGTTTCAAAGAGTTTTATGTGAACGGTGTTATAAACTTTTACACCGTCATCAGTTTTGTAATACGACATGGTAATTATATCACAATTTTCCTGCTAAAAATTCACCAGAATTCACTGGAAGTTTTGAAGTCCTTTAATAAATTGATGGATGGATGGATGGATGGATGAATGGATGGATGGATGGATGGATAGATGGATGGATAGATGGATGGATGGATGGGTGGATGGAAAAGACCAGCTGGTTCTAACTACTTGGAAAAATAAAGTACTATCATGAAATACAAAAGTCATGATGATTTATTTTTAGTACTAGTTGAGTGTGTGTGCTTGTGTGTGTGTGTGTCTTTGTTTATGTTGCTTTTTAAGGCCCGTTTTTCCAACTTACACTATATTGTGAGGACCAACTGCTCCTTATGGGGCCCAAAGCACAGGCCCCATAATACGAAGTGCCAAGTTGGTTAGGGGTAAGGTTTAGGACTAAGGTGTGAATTGAGGATGAGTTAGGTTTAGGATTAGGTATGTACTGGTAATGGTTAGGTTTAGGGTTAGGTATGTACTG